CTTCTTAGCTTTTTTGAGAGCCTCAGCTGAGACTGTGACTGCACTCCCAGAAGCTGTTTGAAACAACGGCAGGCATGAATCTTTCATTTTCTTTTCAGCAAAGGCCCTTTCCTCAGGGAAAACATTTTTGGTTTGTGCAATAACTTGTTTGTTTCCTAAAGCTGTGTAGGAAATATTTACATCCCCTTCTGAAAGACGTTCAGTGTCACAGGAATATTTGGAATATGTTTCATTCACATCAGCATCAGCCTCATGCCACAATTCTCTTGCTTTTATCAATGACGACTCTGAAATCTCCACTCTGTTTCCACTTGCTGTATGAAACCCATGGAAGGTCTGAGATTTGTTTTCTACACTATCCACTTCAGAGCCCACGCTTGCACTGTTTTCTTGTGTTTCAAAATGCATCCATAATTCCTTGGCCTTTTTCAAAGCTGACTCTGAAATACACACTTTGTGTCCACTTGCTGTCTGAAAACCTTGGAAAGACCGAGAAAGTTCACCTGGCTTTTTAAGTGCTTTGGTAGTTATGTTTTCACTGCTTTCTGTATCAAATTCATTGTGTTCCCATAGTTTCTTAGCTTGTTTCAAGGCTTGGTCCGAGACTTCAACCTTCTTGCCACTTGCTGTCTGAAAGCCTACAAATGAAATCGAAGGTCCGTTCTCCATTTCAGGTTTTGTATTGGAATCCCTAGACTTTTGCTGGACTATGAGATCTTTTTGTAGAGAACTGTCTGGCATGTGGACTGTCTTTTTAACAGATATCTGATCTGCTGTTTGTAAAGGCTCAGAAGTTGCATCTACTTGAATGTCTTGCTTTGCCTTGTCTACTACTTTGTCTAGGGTAGATTTTACATCTTTCTCATACTTCTCTGGTGCTGCATCTTTCCTAATTACCATATTTTCGTTGTCTGTATCCATGTGACATTCTTTCCACAGATCTTTAGCTTTTAGCAGTGCTTTCCTGGACACCTTCACTTTGTTATCACTTGCAGTATGAAACCCCATAAATTGCTGCTCAATGCTGGCTTTGGTCAATTCCTGTCTGTTACCAGAATTTTTATCTTCACTACTGACTGATGATACTTTTGTGCTACTTTCAGCAGGTTTTGTAGAATCTACTTTATTTTTTGTATGATTATTCTCCGACACATTTCCTGGGCAACTGCCAATTCCATCATCTGCACAGCAATCCTTCCACATTTCTCTTGCTCTTTTAAGTGCATCCTGTGAAACTGTGACTTTGGTCCCACTAGCAGTTTGGAACCCTACAGTTTTTGGTAATGATTGCCAATCTTCACTCACTGATGTACAAACTGTGTCATGATCAGTCCTGAAGTGGAGTGTATCTTCAATTTCTTTTATGGGCCCAATGCCTTCAACTTCCTGCTTATGAAAGTCCTTGGCTGTGACATTCGACATGCCTGAAAATTCTGCCTTTTCTGCATTTTTAAACTGCGTGCCAGACAAACAGCACAGTTGAGTAGCAGTGATGTCATCAAAGCTGTCATCAAACTCCTCACATGTGCTGCTCCCTTTTGGCAGTTCTGGGGAAATAATCTCCTTAGACATGGCCAGTTTAATATCTCGAGTATTTGGAATGTGTGGAACAACACTGCATTTCAATTCTAGTGAGGTAGTCTGAGTTTTCTTAGTTTTCAACTGACTAGTTAAGTTTTCGTTATTTTTTGAGCCTGGTGTTTCTTCTCCTTGTTTTTGGTCTTTTGTCACAGTTGAATTCTTTGTTTGCTCACTTTCAGGAAAGTTTATACACAGTTGTTTGGGATCCTGAGTATCCTTTGACTCAGCAGGTGAAATTCCACATGCATCTTCTTTTTTTACTTCATTTCTTGACTCTACCTTCTTTGCCATTATCCTTGGTGGCTTAAATGGCCTGAATCCTTTGGGAACATTTGAGTAGTCTTTTTTCTCACAATTCATTTTTCCAGGCACCAAAGGCTTTTTGGAATTAGCTGAACAAATCTGAGCTTCAACTTCTGAATCTTGAGGACAAGGCTTCTCACTTAAATCAATGTTGCCAGTTTTACTTCTTTCAAAAATTTTATCATTTTCACATGACTGCAGCAGCTCTGACTCAATGTCAGACATTAGAGCTTTGGCCTTTGCTAGTCCTTTGCTGGATATTGCTAGAGTCTTGCCTCTAGCAGAGGTGAAACCTCGAGTACTAGCAATGTCACTAAATTGAGCCACATTGTTCTGATGTTGTACTGATATCTCAGTGTCTATGCTTGTCATAATTGCCTGAGCTTTTTCAAGTCCGCTGCTTGAAACCGAGATCTTTTTGCCACTGGCAGAGGTGAAACCACACATGGCGGAAGCTTCAAACTTTTGTTGTTGTAAAAATGGGATTTCATTTTCTTTATCTAATTCTGATAGAATTGTTCTTGCTTTTGCTAATCCTGCATGAGAAATCTTGAACTCTTTGCCATTTGCAGAAGTAAACCCTCCACAGCTTGGCACACCATCACAACTCTTCTGTTTTGTAGATTGGTCCTCTCCATCTACCTTGTCCCCAATTGCCTTTGACTGAGTGAGTCCATCATCTGAAACTGGAATAAAGGCTTTGCCATCAGCTACAGTAAAATGAATTGTTAAAGCAGCATCTACACAAGTAGCACGTTGCTGTTGTAATGTCACTTCTACCTCATCATCTCCTTTGACCAGCTTTGACTCTGAATTTTCAAGATTTGAATTTGCAGTCCCTTTTTGTTCATCTTCTCCCTTTTCTTCGGATAGACCCTTGCCTGAAACTGCCATTTGTGGTCCATTCACTAATGTAAATCCAGTGACATTCACAGGTAAATTATCACTATTTTCTCCGTCTTTGGGCAAATTCTGCTGTGAAAATTCTCTGTCAATCTCTGCAACAAGTGCTTCTGCCTTTGCAAGGCCTTTACTGGATAAAGAAATGGCCTTTCCACTAGCTAAACTGAACCCTCCCAAGCTTTTCCCACTGGTAAATGTACTGGATAACTCTTTTTTATTTTCATCAACTGGCAATGGAAACTTGTCTTTATCAAGTCCAGTATTTGGAATGTATTTCTTACCAGCTAAATGGTCCACTGAACTTTTCTGAAAAGATTTGGAAGTACCTGCATCCTCACAGATGGAGCCACTGTCTGAAGAAAACAAGACAGTCTGTGCCCTCTCACATGGGTTCCCATTTGACTGAACAGTCTCTTCATTTATGCCACTGTCACAGGCTAATGAAACTTGTTCTTCCTTGGTTCTTCCAACTAAGATCTCTGCATCTTTTTCAGTGAAACTGGTCTTGGTCTTTGCAAGTCCCTGGTTTAATATACTGATATTTTCATCAATGGCCGTAGTAAAACTACCATTAAAATTGCTAGGTTTTGGTCCAATGAAATCACTTTGCACATACTTTTCTTTGGCACCTTTGAATATATTGCTAGTTTTTACAGAATCCAGACAACTTTGACTCGTGACAACTTCTTTAGTTTTAGCACTTACTCCTTGTATGGCACACAAAGGAATGGTATCCTTAGTATTTTGGATTTCTGCACACAAATAAGAGCTGTTTTCCATGGTGCATTCTTCTTGTTTAATTATTTCATCCATCTCTTTCATGATAGTGGCAGCCATCTCAAGACTTTTTGCACTGAAAGCAATGTTTTTCCCACTGGCACACTTGAATCCGGTAGCACCCATTTCAAGTTTCTGAAATAATTAGAATAATGATAATCAAATGATAATAGCTAAGATAGGCATTCTCCCTTACTTACATATCAACATTTATTTCAACTGAAACCAAAAATAGCATTTATAGTAAATAAATAAAATAATAAGCAAGCCGATAAAAAAAACAAACTTTTAGGTAAGTCTTGAAATTTCCAAAAAAATAAAAAGTAAATAAAATGTAATTCCAAATCTAACACTGGCAATCAAATGTAATAGATTCTTGAACAGTGATTGTAAACACCAGTTGTTATATCTAAGTATGTTATATTGTCATTTTTTCTTTTTGTTCAAATTAAAAAATTACATTACTTTCCAATTTAATGGTATCAAGGTTCTCAAATTATTTCATAATGGTTGCTTAAAGAATGGACACATTCTTTGATATTATAAAATTCTGATAACATGGCCTTAAAAGAGATTAAAAACTCACTTTGGCTATTTCAGAGAACCCCCCATTTTTTGTCTTTTCCAATTCTTCCTCAACAGGTCTTTGGGGAGTCTTTTCTTGTGTATTCAAATTTACATCTGAACACTGCTCCAACATTTCTTCATCTTCTACAGAAAAATCATTTGTCTCCACATTCTCTGCAGGCAATGTGTCTGGAGTGGATGAGTTTTGTGCAGAGTCAGTAATTTTCACAGGAGATGGATTTTCACTATCTTTGAGTGGATTCTGCTCATGTTTAACTGAAGTAAAATTCAAAATATAGCTGTAATAATAATAATAATTATGATTATTATAATACTAAGCAAAATTATAGTAAAAGGGAAATTTTGTGTAGTCTCAATTTACATCAGATGGATTTACACAAACCTGAGTAGACACTGCCTATGTTTATAACTTAAAAATTAACAAACAAACAGTTAAAAAAAAACAAAGACAATTCTTTATAAAAATTTTATAATAACAGAATTCATTTTGCAGGCTTGGAGCCTAGGTGCTCAATGTGGTAAAAGGCAAAAGCAGATGGGCCGTGTTAAATTTACTTACCAGTGTCATCTCCTAATTCTTCAGTATTCACATTCACACAAATGGTGGTTTTGATGGCACCTGCTTCTTCTGGTTTACCCAAACAGGTAAACTTGGAATTCTTGCTTATGCTTGAAAAGCTCTGAAAGCCTACGTGTGGAAAAGGTATTGGTAACAAATAGTTATTCTCATAAATCTTTGGGTTAAATTATATTATGTATTGCATATAATAACCCTAAAGCAAAATGACCCAAAGATTCAGGTACAAGGTTTCAATGAACAAAAATGAATTTCCACATATAGTTTTATAGCACCTTTTTCAGGTTTATCCTGAAGCAACATTTTAATCATTTTCTACCACATAATGAGAAAAACCCATTTTTTGAGACAGAACACTTGTCAAGTCTTGAGCTGAAGAAAATTGAAATCGTACCTGTTCTGGACCTCATAGCCATCAATGCACCTTTCCTTTTAGCTTCCTTTTCCTCCTCCATTCTGGAGACCATATCTACCGTCTTTTCACCACTTCTCCCTTCTGATGATATGACCTTTGGAAATGTTTCACAATCAGATGTTGCACCAGGTTTACAGGTGCCTGAGGTCAATGCCATGGAGACTGTTGACTCGGTAGTTGTTGTCATGGACTGGGTAGTTGTTGTCATGGACTCGGAGACTGTTGATTCAAGTGCCACTGTCGCGGGAATTTTTGATCCAGAGACTGACTGCAAGGTTGGAGGATCTAGAAGTGGTTTACTGCTAAGAAAGTCATAAACTTTGTTGGCTCTGGTTTTGGATATCTGGCTTGATGTTGGGTAAAAGAATTTCTTACTACGGCTTTTGCTCAAGCTACCCCTTGTTGATATGACTGGTGTTAACTCTCTGCCAATAGATGGCATGTTGGCATCATTCTTACCAGCACTGTATGAAGCTTTAGCATCACTGGTTGCTTGGTTTGGTGTTAAGTCTCCACCAACAGATGGTGTGTTTGCATTGTACTTACTGGTGTTGTATGAAGCTCTAGCATCACTGCCTGTGTCAGCGCTTCCAGTGGAGACAGGGACAAAGATCTCATCTTCCAAACCCTCAGGTTTGTTTGGAGTTTTTACATGTGTGCTAGTTTTAACTTTGGATGAAACAAATAATTCTCTTTCGCCTTGCGCACAGGAAGGCACCACCTGACTTGAACCTAACTCTTTACAAGCCACTGGTGACAAATCTTGAGGATTTGGTAATGTCTCAGTCGCCCTGAGAAGGGCATTTGTTGTGGTTGGAGATATCTGAGAGAACAGGTCATCATTGCTTTCAGTTGTAATCTTTCCACAGTTAGAACTGTCCATAAGTTTTTCATGTTCCTGTAAGCTTGAGGGGAGACAAGAAGCAACGGCATTGTGATTAGACATAGGAGCTTGCTTGTTAATGTCACTAAAATTTTTCCTCATTTGGGAATCTGAATTATCACTAGAACAGTCATTTTTTTTGTTAATGCCAACTAAATTAGGTGTCTGACTTGTCTCTGCGGAATGGCACATTGCTGTTAGTAATGTAGGAGACATCTGAGTATACATTTCCTCATCCCAAATCTTCTCAGAAGGCTTTCTGTTTTTGTTATGCTGGTTGTTTGAAGACTGTGAATGTTCCTGAAAAGTCCAGTCACTGTCTTTTTCAACTGTTATTTCCGAGCAAGGTTTGACAAATGTAACCATATCACTGCTTGTACACGGAGCTTCAAACGGAGACCCAAAGGAATAATTTTCCAGGTCATTTTCACCAGCATTTGCTGCAGGGGGATTACCACTACAGGTTTCTTCTGATAACTTGGGTTTCTTTGTTGTCTCAGTAACCCCCTTTGTTTCAACTTTCCCAGGGGTTTTAAATGTCACTTCAGAGCTATCACTGTCCTTAGAGGAGTGACGACTTCTGTGGATGCCATGAAGGTTATTGAGATCAACTGGCAAAGTGTCATCAAGTAAAGGCGGGGACACATTACACTTCTGATCGAAAGAACTTTTTTTACTGCTGCCAAAGGCATGTACATTGTCACTTCTTTCTAGTTCATTTCTCTGGTCTGTCTTTTGTTTTTGTACCGAGCTGGTTGCAGAGAAGACGGCTTTGTCATCACTAGCATCCTGGGACTCTGTTTTACTAGCTTTAATAACTGGGTCTGAAATAGCTACTTTAATTGCTATACTGGGCGACATATTTTCATCCACATCTTCACCAGAGTCTTTTCTCATATTCCCATCTGCAGCACCATTTTGATCCTTGTTATTTTGATTCATGTCACTTTCTACCATACATACATCAGTTTTGCCCTTATTAACACTGTGCTGGACACATCTATAATTTGGCCATTTTCTCCTCCTGCCCTTGGAACCAAGCTTTCCCCTGACAGTATTTCTTGAAGGAGGCGTCATAAAGAAATCAGAGAGGGCAGACTCCACGTTACTGGAAATATTTGGAGAATCCACTTTGGCACACGAAGTTGAGGACAATGTAGGGGAAGGGACGCATTCCTCATTGTGTTTAATACTCTTTAAATCTCTGGTTGCTGATGAATTACATCTAACACTGTCACACAATACACTTTTGCTAGAAGCAATTGGGACTACTGTCTCTGCAATTTTACCCTTACACTCCCGAGTCTCTGGACCTTCACCTGGTCTATTGCTAGTCATTTCTTTCATGCCATTATTTAGATGACTAGAAGTGGTGAATACCTTTTCTTTTTGATTTGCATTTTCTGAAACAGCTGTCTTTTCTTTTGAACCTGGCATCACCAGTGTTGAGGAATGTGAAACCACTTTCTCCACTGCAATGTCTCCAGGGGTGCTCAAGGATTTCAAATTTTTACAGGAATGTTGTGAAATATTTTCTGAAGTCACAATTTCTGGAATGTTTGTATTCTGAGTCAAAATTCTGTCTAGTTTTATAATTGGCAGAGCAGCACCAGCTTTTGCAATGGAATTTTTTTCACGTACAGCACCATCAGTCTTGAGTTTTCTTGCTTTTTTCTGTACATCACCCTCCTCATGAGAGCTGCTAGAAGCAAAAGTCACAGTACACTGCCTTTCCTCTGTGCCTTCTCCGTCATTTTCTTGACCAGTCGATTTCCCTGAAGCTGCTAGTTTTGCCCCCCTCTTGTCATGTAGGTCATCTAGAGAGGCATCAAGCGGTTCATGTTCTATGGTGAGATTAAGGTGAACCTGGTTGACCTTGGACATCCGAGATGAGGGACCTTCACCAGGAGAGAAAAGCACTCTTGCTAGGGCCTAGAACAGGGGAGAGTGTATGCACTTTCAAATATGTGAATGTTATTTATCATGCACAGATATAAGATTATCTGTATACAAAAATTAAACAGCAATTACAGTTTCCCATATTCTTATATCTAGGACAAATCGCTTATCTAAATGTATGTGATACAATATAATTTCTGAGGCTAAAAAGACACTTGGAAGTGTATTATATTATATATTCCAAATATAACTATTTGTGATTTACTATGCACAACAATATGAAAGCGTAGTCTTAAATTCGGAATATAACAGTGAGTTTCTTTTTAGAAATTCAGATTTATTTCTATTTATTTTTATTCCTGCTTAAACATTTATTTGACCAGTCACAAAAGCAACAAAATACAGCACCAGCATACTTACCCCTGGTTTCCTTTGACCTTCCTCTAGAGATGTATTCTGCTTTGTTTCACTGTTTACACTTACAGTTCCTGTAAGGTAAAAGAAAACTTCATGAATGACATTCTGAATTTTAATACTTACTGTCCTCTTTTCTTAAAAAAATATTTTCGCATTCTCTCATGTTATAAATTGCTACCGATATCTTCACACAAACTTATAAATTGCGACTCAAAACTGTCAAAAAATTGTTTATACAAAAAATTGTTAAATCAGCAACAAAGAACAGGGGTACTTAATCATTTTACTTTCCTTTTAACAATCCAATTATAATCCTTTTTATTTTTCAAACATCAAATTTAAATAATATATTTTTATGTGAAAAAACAGAGTGTAAAACAATTACCAGGTGGTGGTGTTGCCAAAGAACTGGTCCAAGACAAGCCGGTGTCGTTAGGATCAGCTCCAAGACTGACAGCTATGTTAGGAGTGCTGTGTAACATCTGCTCATAACCAGGTGTCCTCAACAGGTGCTTCAATGCAGGACTGTAGACAAAATAAAATCAATAACCAAATCAATCAATTGTTATGAAAAGACCACAAGATTATAAAATAGATTTCCACAAAAATAATTTATGAAAAATATGTTCTTCATGTGACAACACTTGCTACAATCTTGAATAAAAATGTTATTGTTAATCAAAACACAGTTTGATACCAATTTCCATGCATGATAAAATGATAAGCATTAAATTACATTAAAAACTATGTGGTTTAAAAACTATGTGGTAAATAAAGTAAACCTTCACCACACCTGTCCCACGACATCTGCAGGGGGCTCACATAAGACTTCATTTTTCGAAAATTCCCCTTTGTTGCTGAACCTTTGACATTATCCCCAGAGATGTTCCCTTCAGTTCCTGGAGTTTTCATCCCTGTGGGCACCTCCATCCCCAGGCTATCAACACAGTTGGGGGGTGTCCTGCCCACTGACCCTGGGGTGCTGGTTGTCCTCCCCCTGACTACAGCCTGAACTGGTGTTATACCACTAGGACCTGGGGTATCAGGACTAGAACACACTACAGAAAGGACATATAGAATAAGTATACAAAAAGACAAATACTTACAATATCACTTTTATATTCATAATATTGTTTTAATATTTACTATATATATATATATATATATATATATATAAGCACCTGCTGGTAAATAATTGCTCTATCATTAAAACTAGAGCACACCAGTCACTAGCGAAAAATTGTTTAGTATAAAGAAAAATATATTTATTCATCATATAGAGTGTGTCAGTTTTAAAAGATTGAATCTTAACTGCTTTTGAAATTTCCATTAAAAAAGGGCAAGTTGGAAAAAAAGTGATAAAATAAAACAAAAAAAAGAAACAAATAGATATAAAGAGCACCCATGAGTGAAAAAAAAAAAAAAACATGACAATGTTAAACACCATGGAAAACTCACATTTCTCTGCCTTCAATTCCCCACTGTGTAAACTGGGACAGGTTTTCCCATGGTCACTAGAGGGAGCTATAGCAGTTAGGGTAGGGACTGTCTTGGGTGTCACTATCTCACTGACATGCTGGTGCTCATGCAGAGAATGATGTGTCTGTAAATGCAAGCTACTTAGCCTCAATGGTGCCTCTATGTCTGCTAGGGCATCATCTTGTCTAACTGTGTCTACACCAATAACACCTGCAACTGAGCATACACTGTTGGTTATATAACAGAAGAATCTGCATCTTTAAAGTCTTTGCTAATGTAACACTCAGTTAAGTGTACAACATTTTCAATTCTACCCTCTATCCCTAAGCAGTCAACTTTCTGTTCCCCTCCCAGACCTTATCTTACTGTCAAGAAGTAGGACCACCCCACATGCTAGAAGTTGTATCTTGCCACATACTTGTTTTTGGTGACAGGGCACCTTCAAGACTCATGGATGGCAGAGCAGGCTGGATCTCCCCTGTATTTCCAGTAGAAGCCTCATCATGTCTGTTCTTTAGGCACTCCTCTGTTAGTTCATGAAACCAGTTTGGATTGGTATCCCCCAGTTCTGAAATACAAATAGAAAGAAAAAACATAAATAAATACCCCCTGTAATGGAGAA